TAAGGCTTTTTCTATGTACACAAAAGGCCTATTTCTCTCAAATATTCTTAACAAATATGTCTAAACCTGTTTTATTGAGCACTTCTCCTTTGCCGTGATAATCCACGGCATATCAAGATGCTGATTAGACAGCATGATTATTGCAAAGGTGTGCCTTAGGCTGGCCTCAATAAAAGGACACTCTAAAATGTGCAGTTTTATTGTATTGAGGTAGTCAGAGGTGGGGGAGGGGGTCCGAACATCCAGTCCGTATCTGATATGACAACCATTTGCCTCACGCAGTGCAACACATCTCCTTTGCATAGAGTCGATCAAGTTGTTGATTGTGGCCTGTTGAATGTTGGTCCACTCCTCTTTAATGGATGTGCGAAGTTGCTGGATATTGGCAGGACATGGAACACGCTGCCGTATACGCGGATCCTGAGCATCCCAGACATGCTTAATGGTTGACATGTCTGGTGAGTATGCTAGTAATGCAAGAACTGGGATGTTTTCAGCTTTCAGGAATTGTGTACAGATCCTTGCAACATGGGATCATGCTGCAACATCAGGTGATGGTCGTGGATGGATGGCACAATAATGAGCATCAGGGTCTCTTTTCACGGTATCTCTGTGCATTCAAAATGCCATCAATAAAATGCACCTGTGTTCGTTGTCCATAACATATGCCTGCCCATGCCATAACCCCACCGCCAGCATGGGCCACTCAATCCACAACGTTGACATCAGCAAACCGCTCACCCACATGATGCCATGCACGCTGTCTGCCATCAGCCCTGTACAGTGAAAACTGGGATTCACCTCTCCAAAGTGCCAGATGCCATCGAATGTGAGCATTTGCCCACTCAAGTCAGTTATGACGACGAACTGCAGTCAGGTTGAGACCCCGATGAGGACGACTAGCATGCGGATGAGCTTCCCTGATACTGTTCCTGACAGTTTGTGCAGAAATTCTTTGGTTATGCAAACCGGTTGTTGCAGCAGCTGTCCGGGTGGCTGGTCTCAGACGATCCTGGAAGTGAAGAGGCTGGATTTGGAGGTCCTGGGCTGCTGTGGTTACACGTGGTCTGCGGTTGTGAGGCCGGTTGGATGTACTGCCAAATTCTCTGAAACTCCTTTGGAGACGGCTTATGGTAGATAAATGAACATTTAATTCACGGGCAACAGCTCTGGTGGACAGTCCTGCAGTCAGCATGCCAATTGCACGCTCCCTCAAAACTTGTGACATTGTGCTGTGTGATAAAACTGCACATTTTAGAGTGGCCTTTTATTGCGGCCCGCCTAAGGCACACGTGTGCAACACCCTGCTGTCTAATCAGCATCTTGATATGCCACACCTGTGAGGTGGATGGATTATCTTGGCAAAGGAATAGTGCTCACTAACACAGATTTGTGAACAATAATTTGAGAGAAATAGCCTTTTGTGTACATAGAAAAAGTCTTAGATCTTTGAGTTCAGCTCATGAAAAATAGGGCAAAATCAAGTGTTGCGTTTATAATTTTGTTCAGTGTAGTTAACAAAACAATGAAAGTACAGTGGCCAATAGATAGTGTATGAAATATAATAAAAAGTGCATCTGCAACATAATTCCAGTGCTAAATTAATCAATGCTATCTTTATCATAGTACATTTGCATCTATCAGATTTATTGGAAGGCTATTTAAAAAAATGTTTTAAGCATTCCAAAATATGTGGTATTGGAGGTTTAGTGCATAGTGGTAAATCATAAAGGTTGGGTTGAGTTCTAATCCCAAAAGATGTGAAGTCAATGTTGTCTAAGGTTCAGCAATTTATTGTACCACACTATCTGCACATTGTACAGTCTTTTAGACTAAATTTGTCAAATGTGTTGGAAGACTAGGTAATAATTTTCTGTAGGATACAAATTATATAATGTATGGTGAACAGAAAAAAAAGTCACATTTTATTTAAATACTATAAACAAATTATTTTACATGTAAGAACTTCTAAAGTAAACACACTGTGCTGTAAAATCTGACTGAACAATAAAACATTTTTTTATGGAGGCTGAGTCACTGCCAGGGAAGGTGTGACTGGGGCTGCATAAACAGAAACAAAAATGATTTAACTCTTGAATCGCAGAGAATTGAGTGAGCAGTGAGGCAGTGGGGCCATAACCTATACTCCAAAACTACTTAATTAAGTTAAAGTTGTTTTGGTTTCCCTTTAACACTTAGCACTGGTTCCTTATGTAACAACTCAGAGGCATATTACAGGAAGATAATAATAATAATACCAAAGTATTGAACCAAGAAAGGTACATTCAGATTACTCTGGTTTCAAGTAAGTCCTGGAGATGTTACTTTTGCCCAACATCCAGGGGTTCTTACTATTACCCAATTTAATGGTACTCATTTTAGCTACCTCGGAAGGATGAAGGGCTGAGTCAACCCTGCCGGGATTTGAACCTGCGACCCAAGGGTTGTACAGATTCTACTGATGATGCATTAGGCCACTGAGCTCCAGGCAAACTATCTCTGTATTAAATGGTCATGGAATTGTATCAATAGTCTAGGATGCCATTTATCTTTGATGTATGTAGAACATTTGCAACGGGCTTACTGCCAAAGAGCACTCTCTCTCAGGCTACCCACGTGGAGATATCCACTGGAGAGAGATGCGGGCTCTATGGAACTATGACTCTGCTTCACAGCTATAGGGTCGCTCTGTTGCTGCCTGGAAATCCGTGCCGACCGATAGGAGAAGGAGCTGCCATTCAAACTGGTTTGCGCCCTTTCTCCCGATTGGTCGGCGTGAGTTAAAGATCTTAAGTTGTAACTCCTCCCCTCCCTGATCACCGATTGGTGCAAGTTGATTTTGTGCTCTTCTCCCGATTGGCTGGCGAAACACCTCTCCTCCGAGTGCCGATTGGTGGAAATTGTTTTGCGCCTTTTCTCCTGATTCGCGAAATTGGTATCCACCAGCCAAAACCAAGTGATTCTGGGTTGCTATTTTCGGGTACAGAGCCTCAAGCACAGACTTTGTACCACAATTTCTGGGGCTCTGTACATCAGATAGCTCTGCAATTTGCAGGGGTTATAGCTGGGATCAGGAGCTATTTGGGGATGTATGGCATGTGGGAGTGCATTACTGTATGGTGTATATACATTTGTTTTTTTTTGTGTTTGGCTTCCTGTGTCTGGGAGATACCAATATCTCCCAGACACCGCGAAAGTCTGGGTTAGCTTATGTTTTGTATTGCTGTAAATGGAGACCCCCTTCCCCCCGCAGGACATCTGTGCATAAATATTGTGTATCTTACCTACAATAAACAGTTCTGTTTCACCCTTCACTAAGGCTCGACTAGTGTTTGGTTGATACCACGATTGCCCTCCTGCAAGCGACTATAATCACTGGCTAGCCGCTCTAATTACTCCAGGGCTGGCCACAACGAGGAAGGGGCGACCATAGGCGGTAGTAACCCATCCTCGAAAGGGTATACCACCACAACATTAAATAACTATTTTACATGCTCCACTTTGACTGAATCTCACTTGCTTATCAGCATATATTACTTGTACGTAGTTCAGTTAATTATATTGTTTATCCCGTTAGACATAGATCTCAATGGGAACAGTGTAGCTAATTAATGAAATGATTATTCTTGATATCTAGTAACTCTGGGCACTGGCCATAGCTGGATCTGCTCTCGTTCCTTGTGAGTTACAGCACTTTCCTTTTTATTTGGCGGAAATAAGTAATTTTCTCTTTAATTGCCAGGACACATTTTGCCAGATCTGTCACAGAAGGTTTGTTTAGCAGTGAAGACTTGATTACTCAAGTAAGTTCAGAGCTGTCATTTGAAGCAGAGCATCACTGTATATATGATAAGTCAAGTAATTTCTTACACTTGTGCAGTAAAACAAATCCCCCAAGCTTACTAAGGAGAAATAGCTCTACACCGAAGTAACTATAAGAAACTATAAACTTTAATGAGTAAATAAATCAGGGTGTGTATGAATTAAATTGTGATTTAATTCACTAGTCAGTAAGACACAATTTAAATCATGTTTTTTTTTTACATGTAAGTGTTTGACCGTTATGTCAGAACTGATTTTTTTTTTTTTAATGTACCATTAGAAATACTCATATAGTTCACCATACAATAATTTAATTATTATTATTATTATTTATATAGCACCATCAGATTCCGTAGCGCTGGACAATGGGTACATCACTAGCTATCTCCCGTTTAATAGGTTAATGTAGTTAATCAGTCTTGGAGAGCATCTTAAAGGGACATTATAGTCACCAGAACCACTATAGTTTATTTTTTTTATATCTTGTTTTTATTTACATTTTTATGTTGATTACATCGGTCATTAAAGATATGACCCAAAGAACAATCAAATACATAGGATACAGAAAAGAAAAACAAGTGGGGTGGGGGGATGACGACAAGCCATTAAATTTTTGCAAAATGCATATAAATTTTACAACATGACAGGAGGCTTCATATTTTGCATTAACTTTCTTTACTAACTCCATAGCAGCAAAGAAAAACAATTGTTTAAATAAAGAACCAATCAGAGCGAGTCAGAGGATATATAAATCCAAGCATGACCAATCATTTCCTCTTTCTTTGCTGCTCCATCACAAGTCAGGTCAGAGTACTGATTTCTTAACTGTCATTTTTCAAATGTATTATAATCTTATAGTTAAAGAGACACTGTTTCAATGTATTATTTTCTAAGTATTTTATATATATATATATTTATAGACTGTACTGCAGCATTAGAATTATTTAATTATTATTATCTTATTGTGTTTGTTACTGTACTGGGGGTGGCAGGGGATCCCTTAGTATTTAATACCCATTGGGCCTCAGTAACGGAGAATAATTATAATCTCTGTGCTGTATTGCTGCATTGTAAGCTTGTGAGACTTAGATAGACAGGCATAGCAATGTCAGTATGTCCAGATTATGGGATATTGGATAGCTTTTTTCCATGTGATATTTTTATTCTTTTTTCATTAGAAGCCTCTTCTGAGGCAACGGCGTTTCACCTTCCCCCCAACCCCTCCTTATGCTGGCTACAATCGCCACTTTCACTCCTTTCCCGCGCTGTTCACACTGTAATCTGTGCGTACAGAGCGGGCCATCACTCTGTTCGCGCATTGCAAGGCACGAACAGACGTCTGACTGACTCCCCCGCCTGTTCGCACTATATTTGTGCGAACAGAGCGGCCAATTACTGTTCGTACCTTTCTACACGAACAGGCCGACCAAGCCCACCCATTCGTCTAGTTTTGCACGAACAGTTTATTTATACGAATTCCGTACGTGAATTCAACGCTATAAGCAGTATCTGTATACTCACCTTCCCCACGAACTGTTTTCGCTGGCTTTTTTTTTATTTTCTGTCAGCTACCCCGGGTCTCTCGCGAGACCCGCGGCAACCGTTTTGTTGGTGTAATTGTGGCGGAATACCACACTCATCAAGATAAGGCAAACCGGCGAAGATTTTCTACAAAAATTACCATAGATGACTCCAGTTTTCTCACAGGGACCTGCACAGGTTGGTTTGACTACCCCTGGGGAGTGGGACTGCCAGTTAAGGTATACCCTAGTAGTCTGGCAGGGGGTGAGCCCCCATTTAGGTAATTCCCTGAGTGCTGCCTAACGGAACCTGTTAAAGCAGTTCCGAATTCCTGGGTGAACCCCAGCGTTACAGTGTCTGCTTTTTTCCACGCCACTGGGCGACAAAAATTATACGGCCTAACGGCCTGTCTACATCCCTCCCACAAGGTGTCTTCAACCCTCGTACCTGTGCCTGTTAGTGCCCAAATCATGGAGGACACACAGAACCCGATTGACCTTCAAACCATGATCAATGCAGTTGCTGCATCCTGGAGAAGCCAATGGCGAAGGTGTTACCAATGGCCTCTGAACCTATCAAACCGGTTGGCAATCATTCCCACACCAGGGAGGACTCAGATGAGCCAGATGATTCCAAGGAGAGACAACGCCCGGCGAAACGCCACTAGACGGGCGAGGAGTCCAAAATGCCGCTAACAAGGGCAAGGCACCGCTGAAGCGCAGTAAGTGCCCTACTACCACAGCCCCACATACAAAACTCGAGAGATTTCCTCGGATGTGGACAAAGATATGCCCTCATGGATTAGTGGCAGGCAGAGGTCTTAGATTCTGACGAGGGCAACTGGGGCTCCAACGCCTATGTCAAGGAGACCTCCCTGGGTGAGTCCCAGTGTGCAGGAGATGTGGAGCCATCTGCTACAGTTGCTACACAGGAACAGGAGATATTCCTGGACGCCACGGGGCAGAGGATGTTTGACCCCAGGAACATATGGCACCCCCACTCCGGGGAATGGGCCCCGTCTGAGCACCTCCTCAGGGTTAGGCACTTTGGACCCGCAAGTCCCTGGAGAAACACGTCCGCAAACAGACGAGAGTGGAGTGCCCCCGACCACCCCTGCCAAACAAGGTGGCTTTTCACGCCAGAGTTTGACCAACTCATGCTGGCCTTTATGGAACGAAGGGAAGACCCGCACAAAGGGGTCGAGAGAAGCTTCAAAGGGGCGCAAGACAAGCTCCTGGACGAGATGGGGCCACTGGCCCGTGTGATATACCTGGCGAATGAAGTTTACGCCAGAGCAGACTCATTTACTGCGGACATGGTGTGTGAATGGGCACATGATAACTGAGAATGGACCCAGGATAACTGAGAATGGACCCAGAGGGGTTTCTACTTTCTCGAGAATACTAATACGGCCCTCTCAATAGAGCGGTGCCGCGCAGCACTTTTCCGCATTGACCCCAAACAGGCCAATCTGGGGGTAAAATAATTGGGCCCACAAGCACAGGGTAAAATTTTGGTGAGGCATTTATGAAAGAGCTGAATAAGCAAGTTAACGGGTTCACCTCGCTGAACAGAGCCGCACATCCACGTGCAAGTTCTTCAGGGACAACCCTTCAAGGGGTGTTTTCTCCCAGGGCTGATCGGCAACGGGCCGTCCCACCAACCGATTCAGGCCATCAGACCCCTTATGATATATCCACAGCAGTTTACCCGCAACAAGCTTACCAGCACACCTAGACAACACCCATACCCATACTACCAAAGGGGCACAGACAGACGACGGGGTGGTCGCACATATACCCGTGCAAGAGTACACACAGGTAATAGACCAACACTTATCACTATTTCAACTAAACATGTCTGCTGGCCGTGTTTATATTTGTTCCCAGAATTGGGCAAAGCTACCCACAGATCCTATGGGTGTTACAGAAGGTCAATGTGCACCACATCGAATTACGAACGTTCCCCGTGCCGGTGTCACGTATTCATCCCCTTATAGAAATGTGGTTAATGACATTTACTGTCCACACAGGCAAAGTTGTGCCGAGCAGCAACCTATTCCACAGAAGGTTTAATGCTGAGCAGTAATTGTGCAAATGAAACCTGGTGTCATGTATTCATCCGCTTATAGAAAAGTGGTTAATGACATTTACTGTCCACACAGGCAAAGTTGTGCTGAGCAGCAACCTAATCCACAGAAGGGTTCATGCTGAGCAGCAATTATGCAAATGAAACCTGGTAACTGACTTTGGGGTCTAAGGCCGGTTACAGCCTATCAGAACTAAAGGAGAGGTATTTAGGCCCAGTTCTCAGCCTGCTCAGTGCCCTGTCGTGGTTTCCCTTGTGGTTGTCCGAGAGCGCGTTCCTGTTTATAGTTTTCTACCTGGTTTTGACTTTGGCTTTGTTTATTGACTTCTCTATATTCTGGTATCCTGACTCCTGGCTTTCCTCATCGCTGTGTCCCTTTCTGTGTTCCCTGACCTTGGCTAGTATTTTTGACTATTCTTTGTACGTTAAATCCGGCCATTCTAAGGACCGGTAATACGTTACTTATTTGTCATCCGTGCTGTACAGTTCTACGTGCTGGATCAAACAGTAATCCTGACAGCCGGTCCCTTATACGTCTCAACTTCGGACGCTCACCTCATAGAAGTGGAGCTTGGCAAACTACGCATGAAGGGCACTATACAACCCATGTGCAAACAAGGGGGCTTCTTCAGCCTCATGTTCCTCGCCCGCAAGAAAACCGGGATTTCAGATTGATGATAAATTTAAGAGACCGGAATGCCCAGGTGACCTACCACCACTTCAGTTTGGTAGACCTACACTTACTAAGGGACCTCCTTCAAGCGTCTAGATTTCAAGGACACATACCGGTTGATTTGCCCCTTCCTTCGGTTACTGCGGCGCGGCTTTCCATGGCATTTCACTTGCCTCCCTCTTGGACTAAACTCTGCACCAGGGTACTTCACCAAAATGTTGAGACCAGGGGTAACACTCCTCAGAACGCAGGGGATCAGATGTATCACTTACCCGGACGACATACTCTTATTCTGCAGAACGAGAGAACTGGCCGTACAGCATACCGACTATACGGTACAATTGTTGGAGTCCCCGGGTTTCATCGTCAACAGAGCCAGACCAGGAATGACCCCATGCAAGAAATTCAATTCCTGGGCTTGGAGATAAACTCCAGGTATCGCATACTCCCGTCGACCAAAGCGACTGCCATCCAGAAAGAGATCCGCAGAGTACTAAAGATCGACTCCATTCCGCTCCGACAACTGACGCAGATCGTTGGCCTACCCTCCTCACCAAGACAAGCCATATTTCCAGGCCCCAGCCTTTTCTTGCCATGTAACGGTTGAGAGCCCGCTTCCTTCGATGGAGCGCCACGTAATCCCAACCAGTTCAGCTGACAGACGATGTGTGCCAAGAACTTCCACGGGAGGTGCATGGACAACCCAGGAAAATCTCAATGCATATCAACTGCCTCGAACTACTAGCGGGGTCATTAAACGCAACCTAACGAAAGGACAATCCAGTTGTTTGACAACATATCTGCAGTACGGTACATCAACAACTTGGGAGGGACTCGTTCACAAAAACTGGCGACTTTGACAAAGGAAATCTTCTACTGCCTCCCACGCAAAATCATGATACGTGCAGAACATTTACCTGGGGGTCGAACCCTATTGCAGATTGGTACTCCCGACACTGGAGAGACGCCAGCGACTGGCAGTGGAACCCGCAGATATTCGCCTACCTGAATGAACGAAAAGGACCCTTTCTACTGGATCTGTTTACCCCACGCAACAATCAATTACCGCAGTTACAGCTGGTTCCTAGACCGGAGTGCTCGGTGGTGGACGTTTTCAACCAGCGCTGGCCATCACAGGGGGCTTATGCCTTTCCACCATTCGTTATGATTGCGAGAGTTCTCCACCACGTCCGGAGACAAGTAATAAGTAACCCTCCGGACGCCGCCTCCTGTCATGTTGTAAAATTGAAGATTATGCTAGCGCAGTGTACTAATAATCTTAATTTTAATAATGACAGGAGGCGAATATTTCCCCCCCCCCTTTTCGACTTGTCGTTCCCACCCTAATCTGAGGTAAGTTACAATTAATGGGTACTAGTCTAATTCTAAAGATTAAACATTTATACTGGTATGAACTATGGTTTGGATTGCTGATGTTTATATCATTGTGGATTGACTCGATGTGATAACATTTATGGTTAGTCAGATTAGTCATTATAAGGATTTACATATATACTCATAGACTTATGTTTTCATACGGTCGATTCCGTATCACTGATACTAGTCTCTCTTTTCTTTCAGTTTAACGCATTTTATGGATTACTAGGATGACTCCATTGCATTATCAGTTTCAAGTTGGATCAAGCTGGATCGGACATGTTATTTGTTACATTATTGACTTGTGATGTCGCATTATTCAAGAGGAAATGATTGGTCATGCTTGGACTTATATATACTCTGGCTCGCTCTGATTGGTTCTTTATTTAAACAATTTTTTTCTTCGCTGCTATGGAGTTAGTAAAGAAAGTTAATGCAAAATATTCGCCTCCTGTCATTATTAAAATTAAGAATATTAGTACACTGCGCTATCATAATCTTCAATTTATAAACAATAACATCACTTGCAGTATCATTTATCTCTCTTGCGTATATTGCAAACCACTATCTTGTCTACAGGCGGGGGGGGGAGGGGGAGGGATTAAAAAGATTTATTTCCTTTCTCTTTTCCTTTTTCCTTTTTATATTTATTTTTAAGGGTTATGTAGCAATGTTCATCATTGGCACATACTGATCTCTTATTTCCAACCACTGATGCCATCTTCGTTTGCGTAGATCCTCTCTACCCTTACCATTTTTTCATAGAAGCTAAAAGAATCAAATCTGCTCAGGACCTCTGATATTGTTGGTGCTTGTGTTTGTTTCCATTTATGAGCAATGGTGATTTTTGTTGCTGTTAAGAAATGAATAATCATATATATTGCTTCTTCCCTAAGTTGTGTAGGAAATATATGGAGAAAAAACATTCTGGTCTGAATGGAATACTGACCTTCAATGCTATCCTAAAAATTTTTACAACCCTGATTGCTCTGGTGAAATCAAATCTGTTAACATAGGTTTTATTTGTGTAGCCAGAATTTTTGCATATAGTAGAGAAATCGGTCTTAAGTTAGCACATTCATTAGGCACTTTACCTGGTTTAGGTAGAGTAATAATATGGGCCAAGAGCATTTCTTCCAGTAAAGA